CAGAGGGATGGGGTGGAGAGGGAGGTGGGAGGGGGGACCGGGATGGGGAATACATGTAAATCCATGGCTAATTCATTTCAATGTATGACAAAAACCACTGCAAAGATGTAAAGTAATTAGCCTCCAACTAATAAAAATAAATGGAAAAAAAAATAAATAAAAAACTGGAAAAAAAAAGTTACTTATTATATAAACTTCTGAGTTTTTATGATACGATATAAAAACATAATTAATTAATGAATAAGAAGCAGGAAACAAAAAGACTCCACATAAGACACCCCTCATTATCATAACATCAATCTCAACATTGAGGTGCCTAACCTTTTGGAACTTTTTCTCTGTAAATACTAACAGGTAGGTACTGTGTGTCTGTACATACACCCACACAGACACACACTTAATAGGATCACATGACTCGATGGACATGAGTTTGGGTAAACTCCGGGAGTTGGTGATGGACAGAGAGGCCTGGCGTGCTGTGATGCATGGGGTTGCAAAGAGTCAGACACGACTGAACGACTGAACTGAACTGAGCACATATTTTATCATTATACATGTATATATCATATGTATAATATCTTTCAAAAGTGAACATGATAAATTATTGAGATACATTTAAATCTATTTGCTCTTAATGGCTACATGATGTTCCATGTTATTGGCAAATTTAACTGTAATTTAACCACTGTCTTAAATTTTGCATATAGAAATTGACTCTAAATTTTCACTATCAGAAGTGGCTGCCATGACCATCCAGGGTATATAAAACTTTGCACAGTTGACCTTGTGGTTCCATTAAATAAACTCCTGGAAGTGGGCTGCTGGTCTGCACAGTCCAGAGCAGCATCAGTGCTGCGCCCCACACCCTCTCAGCATGGGGTAGGATCAGCCCTTCCATCTCCACATCTTCACTCAAAATATGGGAAAGTAACCTTTACCTAACACAAGGGGATATCCCAACTACTCTTTCAAAGAAAAATGAATATTTTATAAATGACAATGACAAGGACTGAGAGAAATCACTAGTGCACATATGACAGAATGTGTGGTTTCAAGACATTTAAATTGTAAAAGCCTTGAAACATTGTCAAATGCTTCTGCCATCAGGGTATTTCACTTCTGTGAAGCTAAGGTACAAGAACCGTAGTTCTTACGTTAGGCTTATCAGTCTGGTTGATTAATGACTGAGTTGTTTCTGCTGGGATCAAGGGCAGAGAAGAGATGTACTTCCAGGCACACTGTCCCCCGTTGGGCAACATTAACGCTTGATCATTTTTCATAGAGTATGTTTGGAAGCTTTTAATTGGCTAAATTTTTCTCAATAAGAAAATCAAACAGAACTTGGAAACTTTATTGTTCACCAAATTATCAGAATAAATATGGGCGATGCCAAGGAAGGGAGGTAGGAGGTGACTTCTGGGATGAAGGATATGGATGCTGGACACTGAGGGCAGAGCTCTTTGCGAGGGTCCTGTGCTGACCATGTGCTGCCCTGAGGCCACGCCTGTGGGCAGTGGATGGGACTCTGTTCGTGTGTAAGTCAGGGTGGCCCAGAGCAGAGCACAACATCAAGGCCTGGCTTCTCTCACCTAGCAGATGCTCACTGTCAGGACAGCGGTCAGGGTCATGTTCGCCACTGAGAGCTCAGGGGACAGCAGGGCGAGGGCGGGATGCAGGGTGAGGCTCGGGGATCTGGAGGGGGCAGGTCAGCACCCCGTTGCTGCTGACAGAGGCGAGTGCCTTCCCAGAAACACTGGTGTGGCCACCAGGTTTCAGAAGAGGTGACTTCAAAGACTCTCCTCTCTGTGGCTGACTGGCTTTGATCACGGTTTGCCATTCTTACCAGCTCAGGCTCTAGGTCTGATGTGCAGGATACCCACTCGAGTTTGCTTTCATTTCTAACCTCTGACTCCCCTCTGCACTGTGTTTGTCCACACGGCCCCCCTCTACCACCAGCACACATGTACCCTCTGCCAGGGCACCACCAACAGACTGCCCTTGGCTTGGCTGATGCCTTCAGAATTGGTGTGCTTGTGTTACGGGGCTCAGGGCAAAATGACACTGTTTTTTATAACTCTTGTGGGATTATTTGGCTCTTTAAAATATATGCAGATATAACTGGCAAGTTAAAAACAATAATAAAAGCAATAACAAAAAAAGAGTCACTCTTGAGTGACAGATTTCACCAAAACCCACACACAGGTGGTTATGGCCATTACAGATCATGTCTTTTTTCTTTAAGAACAAACGGAATTACCAATGCTCTTCTAAAATAAATAAATGCACTTCTGTAAAGTGACTATGACAAAGCCTTTGACTGTGTGGATCACAAGAAACTGTGGAAAATTCTCCAAGAGATGGAAATACCAGACCATCTGACCTGCCTCTTGAGAAACCTGTAAGCAGGTCAGGAAGCAACAGTTAAAACTGGACATGGAACAACAGACTGGTTGCAAATAGGAAAAAGAGTACATTAAGGCTGTATACTGTCACCCTGCTTATTTAACTTTATACACAGAGTACATCATGAGAAATGCTGGGCTGGAGGAAGCACAAGCTGGACTCAAGATTGCCTGGAGAAATATCAATAACCTCAGATATGTAGATGGTATCACCCTTATGGCTGAAAGTGAAGAAGAACTAAAGAGCCTCTTGATGAAAGTGAAAGAGGAGAGTGAAAAAGCTGGCTTAAAGCTCAACATTCAGAAAACTAAGATCATGGCATCCAGTCCCATCACTTCATGGCAAATAGATGGAGAAACAGTGGAAACAGTAGCAGACTTTATTTCTTTGGGTTCCTACAGATGGTGACTGCAGCCATGAATTAACAGACACTTACTCCTTGGAGGAAAAGTTATGACCAAGATAGATAGCATATTAAAAAGCAGAGACATTACTTTGCCAACAAAGGTCCTTCTAGTTAAGGCTATGGTTTTTCCAGTAGGCATGTAAGGATGTGAGAGCTGAACTATAAAGAAAGCTTAGCGCAGAAGAATTGATGCTTTTGAACTGTGGTGTTGGAGAAGATTCTTGAGAGTCCCTTGGACTGCAAGGAGATCAAACCTGTCCATCCTAAAAGAGATCAGTTCTGAGTGTTCATTGGAAGCACAGATGTTGAAGCTGAAACTCCAATCCTTTGGCCACCTGATGTGAAGAACTGACTCATTTGAAAAGACCCTGGTGCTGGGAAAGACTGAAGGTGGGAGGAGAGGGGATGACAGAGGATAAGAAGGTTGGATGGCATCACCGACTTAATGGGCATGAGTTTGGGTAAACCCCAAGAGTTGGTGATGGACAGGGAGGCTTCGTGTGCTGCACTCCATGGGGTTGCAAAGAGTTGGATACGACTCAGCAACTGAACTGAACTGAAAGTGAACAAATAATTACCATGAACAAAATCACCATGCTGTGTCTTTTAACAGTACAGGCAACATTTTCTCAATCTCA